AGTAGTTTTTCCCTTTTCATCGTCGAAAAAGATTGGGAGGAAAAATCTTTCTCAGCTCTCTCAGAAAAATTTTTCAGCCTTAAAAAAAAAAAAAAAAAAAAAAAAAAAAACTTTTTGTTAATTTTTATCATGTCTTAGACATGATAAAAATTAACTCTACCCCCCTTTTGTCTGGGAATGTTGTCTCACACTTTCTAAAAATAGACCATCACTCCTCCTTTCCTAAAGAATAGAATTCCAAGAATGGGATCTGGTCTATTTTTAGAAACGGTGAGACCCTATTCCCAGACAAAAGGCGGGTAGAGTTAATTTTTATCATGTCTAAAGTTCAGGGTCCATCCATCTTCTTATGTGAAACGGTGACCCTGACAAGATCGAGATAAACAAGTCCTGTGAGTTGTTTTGTAATCTTGACGCGATCCAAGAAAGACTTTTTTATTATTTTTTTTTGAAATAGGCGGGGGGTGGGGAGAGAAAATGTTCTCACGACCCTCAGATATCTTTTCATAAATATATTTTTTATCAAAGTGTTTCTTTCATTCCGATCCTTTTAAGAGGTTGGAATGACCCTGACATTTAGATGGGGTCGCGATCCCGACAGATGTCGCGCGAGTATAAAAGTGTGTGTCCTCCGCGAGATTTCTTCAGAGAACAGAAGAAGACGTGAACTGAGCTGGTAAGTCCCTTTGGTCCTATGAATATGGTTATCTATAAACTCGATTTGATTCTTAGTTTTTTTTAATAATCATAATAATCATAACTTCATTTAAAAAGACCTTTGAAACTTCTTAACCCTTTGAAAAGAAAAATGTCTCTTTCAAGACGACGACTCTAAAACGTTTTATTGTTTTTTTTCCCTTTCTAGATCTTCCCTGTTATACATATATACCTTTTCGATTCTTTTTTTTTGCTCCTGTTTGTGGAAGACATCACCGTATTCATCGCCATGGCGTGTTCAGAAAACTTTATCGTGCTCGATCTAGAGGGTTTCCAGTCCTACAACCACAAGAAGGGTGAATTTACCTACGTTTTAAAAGAATTGGGCTATGCGACAAAAGATTTTTTGACCGTGGGATCGTTGACGTTTGCTCCTCCTCACCCCTTCCACCAACTGAGTGAAAAAAACCAAAAGACGAATGCCTGGCTGACGAGAAAACTGGCACGGACTTCGTTGGAACGAGGGTCATATTCCCTACAACCATTTAGGACGCATTCTCCAATCGCTCACTCACAGCTTCTCCACGATTTATGTGGTGGGATGCCAGAAAGCTAAATTCTTTGCTAAAGCCTTGGATTATCAAAAACCCGTGACGGAAATTTATGTGCCAGATGGAATCATTTGGAAGTATCGGGAAAAATGTGCCCGACATCATCAAAGGATGAAATATTTCCATTGTGCCGAAAACAAAGTGCGCAACTATCGATGGCATATTACGGAAGGAGATTTTCATATCAATCACGTCTATCCAGACGGAACGGAGAAAGAGGAGAGGATTCAGGAGGAAGCAGACAATCCTCTGCAAGCTTTTGATAAGGCCTACGATCAGTTAGAGAAGGATCCGTCCCCAAAAGCGTACGATAACCTCATCCAGAAATGGGATAATCTGTCCTGTTTCCAAGTGATGGAACATCCGGATGAGCATACGCCTTTAAACTTGATGGGCTCTTCTACTCTTCTTTGTCGTCAACTTCCTCCAATAACTCGAGGAAGACGGAGGGTTGGGGAGACATACCTGAAAATATTCCCCATTACGATCCAGCAGCCTGTTGGGACGAACCTTCCAAAGAATCTCATGAGACCCCCAAAATATCTTCAGAGGATCCAAAGACAAAATCCACTGAGTGTTGGGACAATGAACGGACGACTCATGCTCCAAAATCCACTAAGACTATGTCCACTGAGTGTTGGGACAATGAACAGACGACTCATGCTCCAAAATCTACTGAGACTATGTCCACTGAATGTTGGGACAATGAACGGACGACCCATGCTCCAAAATCGACTGAGACTATGTCCACTGAGTGTTGGGACGATGAAACCGAAAAGACGACAGAGAATTGGGATGACCGTTCTCAAAAGTATTTGAATTGATATATACATAAACTCAGGAGAAAAAAAATAAAAGAAAAGATTTTTAGAAATAAGTAGGGAAAGGTTCTCCGCTTTCCCTATATTTATGGAAATGGACTGAGAAGAGAGAGAGAGAGAGACGAATCAGGAGACCAAAAAAAAAAAAATGGGTCTTGGAAGGAATGAGTGCAAATGCATTCGATTCCTTCCGAGACCCATTTTTTTTGGGTCCCTCTCTCATCCAATCTTGGAAAAGAACTTTGTCCTATTTTTCTAGGTCCATTCAAAAAGAAATGAATCTATCCATAAATTTTCTTAAAAGAAAAAAAAACAAAAAGATCCATTACCTCTTGACGGTCCAAAGTCGAGAATCTTGGAAAAAGTCATCCACTCTCTCCATCCAGTCAAGCTTCTCTGTAGAAAATCTAGTAGGTGCATCTGCATTCTTGAACACCCGGCAGTTATTATTGGACGCGAAACGTCGAATGCTGAAATAGTTAACAGTGAGCCCATTCTTAAAGAAACGGGGATGTTTTATTCATCCAGTCGAGTGCGGAAAAATTTCTGAGAGCCGGAGAAAAATTTCTCTAGCTGAAAAAAAAAAAAAAAAAAAAAAAAAATACCCCCCTTTTAGTCTGAAAATTGATGTCTTCAATTTTTCAAAAATTGAAGACATCAATTTTCAAATTTTCAGAGTAAAAGGGGGGGTAATTTATTTTTCAGAAACTTTTCCCAGCCGACTCGATGTGAATAAAACTTTACTGTTTGTTAAGAATGTTATTTAATGGATCGATTTCAACCTATCGAGTTTCGCTTGAGTTCCGGCCGTGCTGTGGGCCCACCTGGATACAAGTTTTCCCCTTTTGGAATAGAATAAAACTTTACTGTTTTTTAAGAATGTTATTTAATGGATCGATTTCAACCTATCGAGTTTCGCTTGAGTTTTAGATGTGAATAAAACTTTACTGTTTTTTAAGAATGTTATTTAATGGATCGATTTCAACCTATCGAGTTTCGCTTGAGTTCCGGCCGTGCTGTGGGCCCACCTGGATACAAGTTTTCCCCTTTTGGAATAGAATTTCCGTCAAGGTAGGCTACTTTTCCTCTTTTTTGCATTTTTCATGTCATTTCATTTGTATTACAATATACTGAAAACGGGCGTTCGAACTGATTTCTAGGCTATTTCTATACAAATGGAGCTCGATCCAAGAAAGAAATGATGTCTTTTTTTTTTTTTGTGGACTGCCAATTTGTATTGGAATATACTGAAAACGGGTGTTTGAGTCGGTTTTCAGTATATTTCAATACAAATAGAGCTCGATCCAAGAAAGAAATGATGTCTTTTTTTTTATTTTGTGGACTGCCAATTTGTATTGGAATATACTGAAAACGGGTGTTTGAGTCGGTTTTCAGTATATTTCAATACAAATAGAGCTCGATCCAAGAAAGAAATGATGTCTTTTTTTTTATTTTGTGGACTGCCAATTTGTATTGGAATATACTGAAAACGGGTGTTTGAGTCGGTTTTCAGTATATTTCAATACAAATAGAGCTCGATCCAAGAAAGAAATGATGTCTTTTTTTTTATTTTGTGGACTGCCAATTTGTATTGGAATATACTGAAAACGGGTTTCAGTCGGTTTTCAGTATATTTCAATACAAATGAAAAAAGACTTTCATTTTTACTTGGAAAAGTATTCATTTTCTTAGTCGTAGTTGGTTTAATATAAAATGCATTTTCTTTCACATAATCTCTAATATTCTAAAATACTGATTTTTGGCTTCTGTGTCATTTTTTAAATCGAAAAATGTAAGTCATTTTATAATTAATGCTCTATTCGGTTCATTTTAAATTAGAGAATTATTAGGAAATACGTTAAATAGTACTTGACTTTCTCTGAACATTTCTGAAAAGGAATAAAATAAGTTTTTTTGTAAAGTATTATTTAAAACTTGTAACTGAGTTATTATAAAATAATGGGGAATAATTAATAAATAAGGGGAATAATTCTTTTAATTATACTTATCAGATTTTTTTTTTTACCCTTCATTTCAACAATACATATTCCAAAACTCTTTATTACGTTCTTAAGTGCGAATCTCATAGCATTTGCTTTACAATACCTTTTAACAGATTGCTTTCCAATACGAACAATTCTTGCTTAAATAGTTTTATAACGTATTTGTCAATAGGATTTCAATTTATGTTTACAATTCAATATTAAGGTTATTATATATTTAGATGACATTTATAATCATTATAAATTAGATACATTTAATAATTAGATTTCTTCACAGTACTTTCTCAGTTGTTTATAAGTGAATAAATTCTACATTTCAAATACATTTATAAATAATTTAATGAATATTTATGTATTTCGTCAAAGGCAGATACATGCTTTTTGCAATAATATGCAACAATAATATATGGATGTGAAAAAAAATTTGTTTTATTTAAAACATTTTGGCGTTTGGAAAATAAAATAAAAGTAGCGAATACTCTATCAAGGGTATCGAAAGACGTATATAATTTTAAATGTACCGTAAGGTATTTTTCATTCTTTAAGCCTAACATTTTTCTTAAAATCTATATTTTTGTAGTTCAACAGCTTAGAATTTTATAAAACAAATTCATAATCAAAATCGCGCTGTTGTTAGTTATCGAAAAATAACCAAGATGTGATTTTTGCGTAAATGTCACTAAACTATACAAATTGCAATTATCCATCACACTATGAATGTTTCTTTCATGCGAAAGTGTCTCTTTTTCGATTTGTATGGAACTGTCGTGTGTCGAAATACTATCAGAACAGTGTCAAGCGAGCTTCTGAATGTAAACAAAGAACACCCCATCTGGTGACCCAAGCTTCAAAGTAGGGCTTCACTTCTAGTGCCGACTGGCCCCTCCTTCCTTTCCTACCTCCATGCTCGTCGGCGAGGGGTCGAACAAAGGAGTGACGTAGCCCTTCTATTTATCCCTGTTCGTACAAGAAGGTTCTTTAATATTAATTCGTATTTCGCGGATTTGAAGTGATGTGAAAAGAGGAGTCGATTGAATGTAAATATTAAATAAAGTAAATGTGAAGATTTGTTTTTCAGTTTTGTAATATTATCACGATACAGGTAGAATATGAATATCTGCCGTGCATTTTCCAGAAATAGAAATGACTTATTTATTCGAGACGTATTTTCTGCAATTATTTTACCTTCTAGGGTAAGTTAAATTAGGATGGAACATGTGTAACTTTTGAAATTAATTAAAAGTTTAAAATAATAAAATGTTATTTTCTTCGAAGCAGGCCTTCCAGTTACAAAATTATCTATGAAATGCCAGAATATATTGCCTAAAATAAGAAAAGTAGTCGAAGGTTTATGAATAAGAAACACGAAGCAGAACTTTTTAATCATGTGAAATATTCATTAATCAGAAAAGTGTTAAAATAACAATTTTAGTTTCTAGATATAATGGCTGGATGACGAAATAAAAATTCTGCGTCAGTGGAAGAACAGAAAACATCAACATTTTCCCTAAAATTGTATTAAAATAAAAATTCTGAATGCTGGAATGAGGTAATATATGATTAGAAAAGTAGTTTGTTCATCAAGTTTTCGCAAGAGCAAAATGTGTATTTTAGGAAACTGAAGTCAGTTGTAGTAGTAGAAAATATCAAAGAGATTGAGATATAAGTATGTCAGCTATCTTTGAAACTGTGATCGTACAATTATTAATTTATAACTGAATACAGATACATTGACATTTTAAATTGAAATTTGAAGTTTTCATCACAAAGCCAAAGACAGTAAAATTTCAGATTCAACCAAGACAATAGTTGAAAGCATACTAATGTAAACGTGTGGCCCTAATTATTATTTTAGTCTCTAAATATTCAGAATATCTCTTTTGCTCATATTTAAATTGTATCAAAACTTATTAGGCAATTAATAGTCCAAAACAAGTGGAGAAAAATTAGGCTAGAAATATTTAAGAACCTGTCAGAATCTGTGACAGAAAGATGAAATCACATTGTAAAAAAACTGATCCAAGGCTAATCTTTGGAATATGGTAACAGGTAATTTGGCGACATTTTGGTAAGGCGATAAAAGTTACTAGCTAGGACTTTAGTAGTGTACATGGATAAAGTCAAGAGTGTGCGCAATGCCATTTTTGTGCAATTCTGGGATGTTTTTTTAAGTGAAAATAGGTTGTGTACATGGATGATACCATGTGTTTGCGATTCTGCACTTTCTCCCAATTTCGCACCTAATCTTCGTCATGATTAAGCATTTTTGCTCCATAAAAGTTCTAGTAGCTTTCATGTACCTGATGCTTTAGTAAGGTTGCTGAATTAAATGTACTTTTTCCTTCATAAAGTCTCATTTATATATTCACTGTAACGTTTATTTCTTCTTAAAACCATTTTTTCAAAAATTGGCCTGTATTTATTTCACATATTAAAAAACCCACAAAAGATTTACGCAACCAGTTTTTAAATCACAAACAGACCCCCCCCCCACAAAAAAAAAAAAAAAAAAAAACCTTTGGTCCAAAAATATGCCGCACTATGCCAGAAGTATATATTTATGTTAATTTTATTTGTCATTTGACAAATTATGACATTTTCCAAATTTCTCAAATATGAAAATAATTTTTTTTTCAATAATTTTTACAGATAGACTTAAGTCCACTATTATTTAAAAAGTGTTAAATCTATTGTTTCAATTTAACAGTGCTCCAATCGTGGAGCGGATAGAACTACTGGTACACTGGTATAATTTATTTGTCTAGGGTCCATATCTCGGCAAACGGGCTAGCTACGGACCAGGAGTAGCCAAATTCGTATAAACAGAAGCCACATGTTATCTGGAAAACAAAGAATCACAAGCAGAAGATACTTAAAGCAATAATTTAAAATTTCTGACATTGTATGTGAGCATTTCTTTTACCATTTTAAGACTGCGTTTTTCCAGTTTTTATTTTAAAAAGAGGAATAAAATTTTGATTCTAATTTTTCTAATTTTAATAAAAGCAAATTAAGAAATAACATTACAGTATTTCTTTTCAAGAATGTGAAAAGTTCTTCATTCTTGTGACGAAAAAAGTAACCTGAGAAACAAAACTGATTATTTTCCTTTAATCTGAAATCTAAAACAAATAAGATAGAAAAGAACGCTTTTTGGAGGAGCTGTATTCGGTATAAAAATTTATTTAAAATAATCTGTAAGCTTTTAGTACAGGTTTTGTATAAGCAAATACAGTCAAAAGTCGTTAACGGACTCGTCGGGACTTCGGCGATTCCGGATTATCAATTTTTCCAGATTATAGATCATCAGTTTAAATATGGTAAGATGGTATGCAGAAATTACAAAACTAAAAATATGAGACTGTAATTTATGAAATAAAGAACAATTATGATCTAAAGGGTATCGAAATTTACAAAAAGAAAAAGCTTAATATTTATTTGTTTACTAATATTTAATTTATTTGTTTACTAATAATAAAGCTAATATTTATTTCTTTCAATGTAAGTTGTTTAAGTTGCTTCGTTTCATGTGATAATACTTTCTCTTTAATTCTATTAAACAGACATACTTTCTTGTTTAGTCACACTGTTCAAGTCCTATAATTGCTGTGTCGAGAATACCGACTAATTTGTCAAACGAAATTTTTTCGTTTTCAGTAACCTCTGTGTCACTTTCTTCACTATCGGAAGCGAATTATAATGACGAGGAACTTGATTTAATCATATCAAAGACGGAGTACATCAAGATGAAATACTACATTTAGTAAGGAATTATAAGCCAAATAAAATAAAAATCTGCTCTGAAGATAAGGATAGTGCTGACAGATCAACTTCCAATTCATTGCGCGCCGCGGCGCCCCCCCTCCCCGCCGCCACAGAGCAGCGTGAAATTGATAAACAGATTTCGGATTTCGAAACATACTTTCGCTTTGTAGATCCTTTACATATTAGTAAATATATATCAGAAATTCTATTTGACATAATCGAAAGTTCAAGCTTACTTTTATAAAATTGCTCTAACAGTCTGCAAAAAATAATAAGGCGGATCCAATTCGAAGATTAAGGAACAACGCATCTGTGACATTAACTGAATTAGATAATTTTAGTTTAGCTTATACCGTCCGTTATACATTAAACGCTTATGTGTAAACGTATTATGCGCATGCGTACACGCATATTCGCAGCCGTAAAGGTCTTATGCGCATGCGTCAACGCGACACATGCGCAGAAAGTTTGTAGCTTTGAGGTCCGGATTATAGATCATTCCGGATTATGGGTGTCTGAATTAACGACTTTTGACTGTAGTAGTTTGCCTATGGTAACTGCTCCTGTGGATTGGCTGCCTCACTGTCGGTGGAAAGAAAGAAAATAGTTTAGCTTTCGTATGTAACTGCCATGCTGACCAGCATACAGAGCTCATTCTGTATCATTCTCTGTTAATTTATTAAATGAAGACTGGATCATCAGATATGTTTTGCTTCTTCCAGTGCCAGTTACAAATCGTACAGCTGTTCAATAACATTTGAACTACATCATTAACGTTGCATATTGCTAAAACGTACTTGTTCTTTAACCCTTTGCGGCATGGTGGGTCAATATATGTCCCACCTAATTAATATTTATTTTCTCAGTTATCAATTTTCATTAGAAATTTTCTAATCTTTTAAAAATAATCTATTTTAGTTATTATTTTTCTCAGTAGATGTTACTACTATACCAGGGCTTAAGTTTTTAAGCAAAAAATATTCAAAATAGGATCACAAGAGTGATATCCATGTATCTCGCATTTTTCAATATTTTAAAAATTTTGGTATACAATTTATGATATGTATGATTCTTTTTAATATTCAAAGGTATTTTATTTTCAAAAATCTTAATTGGATTCAATATTTTATAACATTAATTTTACAGTTGAAATAAGTGGGTTAAAATTTGTCCCACCACACACTTGAATTTCTGCTCAATAGATGGCAGCACTCACGATTATTTTTTCTTTCCTTTTTTGCATCTACTTTTTTCGTGATTGCGTGCGCTTTTACATCCGTTGTACGCTCTGATGTACTAAGATGTCTAGAAAAATTTTAACAACTCAAGAAGCTTTGGATCTTTTTGCTGAATTGCCATCTGATTGCGACTCAAATGCTTCAGATGTCTGTTCTGATTCAGATGAAATTGAAATCCAGGAAAGAATAACTGAGGTTGAAGTTATTGCTGAAGAATAAAGGGAAGTAGTTATAATTTGTTTCGCTTTTTAAAGACACAGACCCATCTATGCATGTGGCACTGTAAATATGGATCGGAAGTATCTACCCAAAAATTCAAAAGACAAATTTATGTCAAGAGAATATATAGACTTTTCAGTTAGTGATGATTCAATTTATTACATAAAATAAAAGGATAAAAGGTCTGTTTCCTGTCTTGCTTGGAAAAGGCAACTGAAATGAAAGAAATTAATAGAAAAGAACGAGATGGAGAAACAAAAAAAACAACAAAAAAAATGTACTGTGCCTAAACAGCATTATTTCATACAATAAGAATATGGGATATGTCGACTGATTGATCAACTGAAAGGACTATATGAAATAGACTGCAAAAGCAAGAAATCGTAGCACATGATTTTTTTTACTTTTTAGATGCGAGTATAGTAAACACATTTATTCAAGTTTGTTCGCGAACCTGATCATGATGTAAAAACAATGAAAGATTTTCTTCTCTCAGTTATAGAAAGTCTAATGGCACTTGCAGGCAAGAAAGAGCTGAAAAGAAAACTGAAATCCCCAGTTCAAATAAAAACTAAAAACCCGTTCGTACAACCAGAAAGACTAAAAAAGGTAAGTAAAACGCCAAAGAGAATGAGCAGAAGATGTGCATATTGCAGCATATCGAAAGAAGAACGATGAATATTTTGGATGTGTGAAACATGTGAAGTGCCTCTATGCTTATAAAAAAATGAAACAACATGTTTTTCAAAGTTTCATGAAAAATGACTTTTTTTTTTTTTTAAATTTTAATCATATATAAATGTTTTTGAATTAGGTGCCAATTTTAATATTTTATTTAGTATCATATGTACGAGTATCAAATTTTAATCTTAAAATAATATTCAAGAAAATATTTTCTTTTGTTCCTAAAATTTAAAAATATTAAATATATAGTATATGCAAAATTTTACAAGTCATGCATATATGCAATA